GGTTGAATTTGTTCCCAGTAAGGCCAAAGAAGAATAGCAAGTACCACATCCAAGTTCTGTAGGATAGCACTTAGCCTCAATTGTCTAATGTTCATTTAATTGGGACATTCGTGTAGGTAAATGTCAGTGATGCATCAAGCGGAAAGCTTTAAAAAGCACATCAACGCCAAATCCATCCTCTCAGGGAATTATTAAAAAAAAAAAAAAAAATTCAGCCTTTGTACTAATTATAATCTCAATAAAAAAAGGGAAAATGAATCGTAACCAGCTACCATGAGGCGCTTCGGCTCTCTTGAGGTGTCCAACAACTTCTAAGTGGACTAATCTTAGAGGTAGCATCTGTAATTATTTTAGCGATATTCCTAAATCATTCCACGTATCAAAGAGCACAAAGTCTAGCACATCTCATTAGATATAGAATGCTACAACTGTTTACCATTCTCATGTACAGGAGTAGTAGCCTTGGGGTTTGATGGGGATCTTTTCTCTGAGCTTGCTCTAGAGGATATCTGTTCCAATGGACGAATTTCTAAAGATCTTGGGTTCTCCCTGGGAATATAAAGAGCATCTGCCTTTGGCGTGCTGGGTGTCTCCTCATCATCACTAAAAAATGGCACCTGAGCAAAAATAATAATGAATAAATAGAGGAAGAGAAACACAAGTTCGTAGTAAGCTATAAATGAGGTCAGGAATTTCATTAGAAGAATAATCCTTACCTTCGGACCATCATTTTTAGGGTGATATTTCCTTGCAGGTAATCTAATACACCTATGAGAAAGGTGTCGAGACGTCAAAAAAGACGATATTCTGATAGGCACTGGTTTGTCAACAACCTGCTTAAAAATAAGTGTCAGTTACTGAGCCAGCAGTTAATATTCTATTCAGCACTGGTATGGTAACACCAGAAAACGCGATTAAATTCTTAAGAAGGTTCTAGATCAGTTGATTACAAGGATCAGACACACCCTACATAATTTTCTTTTGGAGTTAATCAAGATAGGCATACTTACTGGCAAGCTGGAAATTCCATACTGGATAGAAGGAGAAGTGTCTGTGCGGCCAATTGATATCTGGGGCATCGCTGGCAGGGTTCCAAAAGGATTTGTAGCAAGAGCAGATTGAGCAACCGCAGAGCTTTGAGTACCTGACCTGCAACAAAATTTAACAGATGCTAAACTTATACCATGTTGAAAGCATGCAAGAACGAGCCAGTGCATGATAGTAGACTGCTAATCAGAAATCAAACGTTGTGATTCCATGAGTTTATTTGGAATATTTGCATTTGCAAGCTTTACAATGCAAATATCAAAACCTCAATTTTGGAATAGCTCAACATCTACATCCATGTTTTCCGAAATATTATGGACAATCTCTCAAGTACATCAACTATAGTTGCAGAAAATCACCAATTGACTAGCACGTGAGCTGCATCTGAGTGATTACTGAATCTAACAAGTCAAAGTTAGGTACATTACATTAATACAATTTTTTCATGTTCTTAAATCTGGTGTCCATAGCAGCTGCACTCTACGTGACAATCCGGAATTATATATCATGCATTATATATTCACTAAGTATATGTACACAAATTATATGATTTTATGCATTTTAAGACACTAAATCTTAGAAGACAACAAAAATTTCAAAAGAGAATATTAAACCCCAGTTTGGTTTGGATTAAAATCAATGTAAAATCTATAATCAAAGTCAACAATTAATTTTAACCACATATTTCATGGGATCCGCACCTTTTCAACCACATATTTCATCAAATTTTATTATAACTTACTAAAATTTGATTTTAATCTAAATGGGGGCTAAATGAATTGCTTTCTTTATCTTGCCAATCTTACCCATAGGATGTTAACTGTCAGGTTAAAGAAAGACTAAGAAACAAGGGTGCTTAATTTACCTTATCAATGAAAATCGTTAAGATCACAAATAGAAGGATCAATTGTCTATTAAAAAAATACATAGCCAATGTTTGAACCCCATTTTTTTTTTTTTTTGTTGAAAATTAGTTTTGTAATAGTGAATTTTTGAAGAACGTGTGATTAAAAAGCATGGAAAAATTTTGGATTTACGTGCAAAATATTTTATTGGGAAAATGTGCAGTTGAAAATGAGTTTGGAATAAAATGCATAATCATTGTGTTCAGGTATTTGTATCATTTAATAAAAAAAAAAAAAAAAGATGGATCTTGTAACCAATTTTACGTGAATTCTGTGCATATTACACGATCTTCTCTAATTTACTTAATAAATGATTAAACAAGTTGACATATTTTCTCTATTGAAAAATTAAATATATTGAAATATATGAAATTTCACATTCTGATAACTAGTTTTGTATAAGGTTTATTAAACCAGACAATCTAATAATAGATATCCATGTGGAGAACAAAAGGATGCTAAAGGCAACATAACGTGAATATAAAAAAGTTCTAATTCACATCAAGTAAACAAGCAAAAGAAGTCAGTCCAAGAAAAAGAAAAAGAGGAAGAGATCTTGAAACATACGGTTGCCCAACCGTGCCGTGGCCAAAGATACTTGATGTGCCGCCAAAGACATTGGCACTAGCTGTAAACAAAGAACAGTGATTGTTAAAATGATAACCATATTGATAAGATTCCCAAAATAGAAAATAAAGTTATGGTCGAGAAAGACCAAAGACTTGGCCTACCTGTTTGTAGCTGTCCAAAGTTGCCAAAGCCAAAACCTCCAGCACTCTGAGTTGGCTGTGAAGGTAGAAAAGGCGTGGAAAGAGATGGCTTCAGAAAAAAAATAGAATAGAAATAAGTTATCAATGGCGTAAAAAAAAAAAAACTATGATAATAACAATTCCAAGAAAATTTAACAGATTGTTGCATACAAGACTGCTGAATGCAAATTACAGAAAAGTCCCATAAGCCAAAACTACAACATTCCCAAGTAAAGTTCCTGACAAAGTTAGTCGTCAACTCTGCTAAACTGTCCATCCAATTACATTTGGAGAAGATATTGGCTAATGTGTCATTAAGTTCCTAGTATACAATTATGATGAGTATCCTGAACTTACCCATACTCAACCAACAAAGACTATAACCACACAAACCTTGACTGTATCGGCACATCCACGAAGCATAATGATCAAATGGCCGTAAGAAACCTTTTGCATAGGTACCATATTGGATTTGAATCAGATTTCGGATCAATCTATATTGACTGACTGCCTCCATCACGTAATGGATCTTGAAGTACTATTTCTGCATCTGCCTGACCAAATCTGCCCTCACATTAATGGTTGATCAATGCAAATGAACGAAGGTTCTGAGAAGGATAAAGACTTTTTCCTTTGATCAAATGACTAAGGACTTCTGTCTACCGATGATCACATAATCATAACAGAATATGTCTGGTCTTAAAAAGCCATGTCCATTATCAGCTCACCCACCAAGGATTAACATTTTACCTTTGAACGCTGCTATTATAAAACTAGACTGAGAGCACGTTAAAGTCAAATGTGGCAAGCGTACGCAAGTTAATTCCATATATTTCCTTTTTTCGTATGATATAAATCATTAATTCATGAAGGTAATATGGCTAAAAAAACAGCACAGCAGGTTGGTCACAAAATAACTTTGTAAGTCTCCAATCACATTATTAAACATACTGTTGAGACACACTAAAAGTGCAGCCCAAATCGAATAGTCCAAGGAATGAAGTCCAATTAGGGAATCCCCAAATCAAATAACCCAAAGAACAAAGTCCAACTGGAAAATTCAGGATAAAGGTCCAAATAGGGTTACTAATGAATGCAGTGGAAGCCCACGAACACGATTACATCATCGCCCAAACTTGCAAGACGCCCAAGATCTGAGCGAATGAAGTGCCTTACAGTCGCCCAGAGCTATAACCCTGTTCTCGCCCAAACCTTCGAATCGCCCAAAATCTTAGCAAACATAAGATGTTATGGTTATCCAGAAGTGCAGTTATTGAAACAGTTATCGAGTAACCTTATCACGATCCACGATTCAAGGAGTTCAGTTGAAGACGGTTGAACGACAAAGAGTAGTGGCAATAGTTAGAGACGGCAATTCCACGACAAGTTAGCTACCATAAAGAAAGTAGGTAGTTATAAAGCAATCAAACAGTTTCTAAGCGATTGATCACGAAGGAATCGTCAAGGGAATATAAAAGGAAGAGAAGACATAGAGCAAAAGGACCCCGAATCAAATACTCTCGAATAGAGAATATATAATTTCAATTTCTTAGTTTAGACTTAAAACATTTCTTTTCAGTACTTGTGTGTTTGCGCCCCTTAGAAGCATTCTGTTTAGTTCCAATTATAAAGACATCGCCAATAAAACACCCATTTTTGGGACTTTGTCTCAAGAGGTTTGTTATTTACACAATTGTTTGATCCCTTTTTAATTGTTAGCGACTACCCGCGTGAAACAATTTGGCACGCCCAGTGGCACCTTGGTGTTTGGTGTTGGAGATACAAAAGGTGAAACAATATGCCTCAGAAATCTGATAAGGAAGCAAGTTAGGGATGAGTCCAGTCTGTGATCGAGCGATATGAGGAAAAACATAGCTCTCCACGAACAGATGGATAGAATTAGAGCAGTCATAGTCGTTATGAACCAATGACAGAGTTGAGTCCTCGAACTATGCGTGCATTACTTGGAGAACTTACACAGGATGTCGTTGAACAGGTAAATCTACGAAATATTAATAATATGGAAAGATTTACTCAGAATGGGAATGCACACTATGATAACATGGCCAAACAACTGAATACTTTGAATGAAATAATGAATAAGTTAATAAGCCAAATTTGTCAACCAATTACGCCTCTTGCAAACTACTTTCAAACTAGGACAATTGTGGGACATAATCCCCCAGTCCTAAACCCAAGCCAAGGGGTAGAACCACATTTCGGTCCCTCTACTTCAAACCAAGGGGATGGTGTAATGCCAAATCAGAATGGTGGCAATGGTACATCTAACTTGGGAGGTAACTTAAACGTAAGAGACAATGTCCTAAATAATGGACATAATGCCCCACGTATTAATGATGGGGTAAATATTCAGGTTAATGGTAACAATGGCCCAAATCATGGCAACTTTGTT